GTAGAAGTAGAAGTAGAAGTAGAAGTAGAAGTAGAAGTAGAAGTAGAAGTAGAAGTAGAAGTAGAAGTAGAAGTAGAAGTAGAAGTAGAAGTAGAAGAAGTAGAAGTAGAAGTAGAAGTAGAAGAAGTAGTAGAAGTAGTAGTAGTAGTAGTAGTAGTAATTAGTAGTGGCAGCAGTGGTGGTGGTGGTAGTAGTAGTAGTAGTACTACTACTACTACTACTACTACTAGTAGTACGAGAACGAGGACGAGTACTAGTATTAGGAATGCCATAGTAGAAGTACTAGTACATTGCGGCGGGAATCTAGAACAATTAATTGGAGAGCAAATCTTTGTTATCTTGGTGATTTTGCAATCTTGGTGCATCTTGCAATCTCGGTCATCTTGCCTCACTTGCCCCACTCCACTTGCTCGCCGACTAGTTTACCTTTTTGACCAAGATTGCAAGAATGCTGGCAATCTTGCTCCCCACCCCCCAAGTGGGGCAAGTGGGACAAGATTGCAAGATTGCTTGGCAAACTTGCTCAAAGAATTGTTCTAGATTCCCGGCACACTCTACTAGTACTAGTACGAGGAGGAAGAGGAGGGGAGGAGTCGCAGGAGGAGGAGCGGCAGTCGTGGTCGTGGTCGTAGTCGTGGTGTTGGTGTTGTTTCATTCGTGACCATCCGCCACAGTCCTGTGTGTCCGCCGCCCGAAATTGGCTGCCACCGCATACATGACATCTTTCAGCACGACTAGTATTTCCGCGTGTGGTGCATGCTTTGGGATGGCAAGCAAGCTCTGGTCGCAGAGAGGTGCGGATTTCTGTCCCTTGGGGTGTTTTTGCGGGCCTCGAAAGGGGTTGTGGGAATGCTTGTTGGGAATGCAGGGTTTTCACTACCAGGTCCCCTTTGGCGTAATGTTGCTTCTGGATACTCTTCCTCCTAGAAGACGCCGATCATGCAGGATCCTGGGCATGGCCCATTCGACCTCGTGACCGTCACCGATGCGCCCCGGCGGGCGCATGCATTGCGCTCCTCTGTGCGGTGGCCCCTGCGTTTGCGCCTACTCCAGCCGCCAGAGGAAGAGAGGCCCTGGCAATTTGGCTTCTTCGATGCCGAGAGATACTTGTTGCAGCTTGGTGGGATGGAGAAGTCTCAGCTGTCGGACAGCGATCAGTATGTCCAGCATGCGACTAAAGGTCCTATGTGACTCATCTTCGCGAAATTGGCCTTGGTGATCGTCTGGTCATTTACGCTGATGCATTCGATGTTGCAATGTTTGATTGCCAGCGCAATCTCAGCAAGGAGTGCCGATGAGAGCTTGAAGCATTCAGGAAGTTCTACGCTCTCCCGCACTAGTATCAGGCCTTGGATGAGCTGCAGCGCCCAATGGTGTTCGGAATCGAGAAACCTAGATGCAACGAGCGTTCTCGGTAACAGCATGCAACTTTCACAGCCTGACTCTGGGAATGGAGTGTCCTTATTGCAGATGTTGCAGCAAAGGTTCGATCTTTATCCCGCCGGCATGGACGGATATCCCCGTCCTGCTGCAGGCAGTCATGCCAGAGTACGTCAGGCCAGCAATGACGTGGCCAAGATTCATCGTGTGACGAGTGGCTGCATGAGGCCAAGATGCTGGACCTGTGCCGCAAGCAAGCTCAGATGCCCTATGTGTGGGAGAGCAGGCTGGGATGGAGAGATCCTTCGTGATGCATCTGCACAGTGAAATCTCTTTTGATACATGAAGCTGCGAGGCCGCCTGACGAGCATGCTCCGTGCCTAGCAATGTCTGAAACGTCAGGCATAGTGAGCAGCGGCTCGGAACCAATAGCAGCTCGGAGTATTTCAGAACATCAGACGGCTAGTTTTGGATCCCGGTCGGCACGGTCCAGGTTTGTCTTTTCAGCTCGCAGCTGGGCACTTACCATGCTGACTCCCAAAGCCCTCGCAGTCCTAGCAGCAAAGGCGTGAGCTAATGGAGTTTTCAGGGATTACCCCAGGCAGCAAGTCCGTGTGACTCCTGATCAGACCCAGAATGCATCCGCCTCGCATGTGCCACCATGCATGGAGGTGATTGCAGTGCTACATTAGGTTGGGCGAAGTCGGATGGTCTCTTTGTTTTCAGCATACATGTCCATGTATATTTACATTCATATTGTGTATGTTTCTTTGTCTACTTATATTAATTATGTGTCAACGAGTCAACACACCTCTACCACTCGAGTAGCTGGATGTGATTGTGTTATGTATGCAGGTTGTCACGACATGGTACGTCAAGATAGCATGTGCAGGAAATCGCAGCGAACAGCTTACGGCTTCAAACCCTTTCAACAATTGCAAGCTCAGCACCCGGTCGCCGGAGAGTTTCTGAACGGCGGCTTCTACGGGGGTCGTGCAGCGGCGCTGGAGATTGCCTTGAGGCAACTTGGCGGCCACAAGAGAACACTCACGATGTCGGAGGTGTTGTCATGTGTTGTCCTGGACTCTGGACTCAGCATGGCACACAAATCCTGCTGAGGCGGCTGCTGCACGTGCAGTCACAGCTACAGGAATTCGCATCCAACGGAGACCCATTCCGCCGGGCGGGAAAAAGCCATCAATACATGTGGAACCAGTATTTGCTGGACCATCCAGACCAGGCGGGCAGCGAACGCCGGGGGTTCGTTCTTCTGTGGCAAAGAAATGTAATTTGGTTTCAACAGCCCGGGGAGTGTGGGTTATTGGTAAGTCGAGGAGAAATGACGCAGGTCGCACTAGACTACGGCGGTGCATTCGTGGTCAACTTGGCTCGGCGTTCCATCGTCCCAAGGCAATTTGGAATTGATGAGCGCACGGGACAGCTGAAGTCTGTTTTATTCCAGAGGCCTGTTTGCTTCATCCATGCAAACGCAGCCGGCGTTGCTGACAGTACCTTCAACCTGCTACGGACGGCGTACTACCTGCAGGCTGATACAACTGCCTGGACCGGATATCAGGTCCCTCAAGAGCTCAATGCTCTGCAGCTAGCCGGTCTGCAGGCAGACAGGGCACGTCAGGATCGCATCGTGGTGGACTCCAAGCTGTGCTTTGGTGCCTTCAGGCATGCACCTAAGTGGCGTGGAATCTTATCCTACGTTTACATGGTGACGCCGTTTAACGAAATCACTTTTGCCGGCCTGCAATTCTTCGTCGCTCGTCCGCTAAAGCTTCAGGGGTCACGGTCTCACGGAGCTGAAATGGTGTTCGACGTCATCGCCAAGATGGCTTTTCCGATGCGTACCAGGAAAGAAACTGGACGTGCCAAGCCGCCAAACGGCACACACACCTGGTTTGAATCGCGAAATCGCTTTGATGCTGCGGTAGGGCCCCTAGCAGCCCTAGCATGAGCTGCCGCCGACATCGGCCACGAGATATGGCCTATCGTTACGAGCTCCGAGGTCTTCGACATAACAGTGCACAGTGGTGATTGCTTGGCCTGGCGCTGCGAGCAACGCTGCGATCTCACGTACGCAGAGATCGACAAGGACAGCTGGCTCGACTTGTCCACGCAGCTACTGTTCGATTTGACCTTTTGCCTAGGACGCCTTGGACCCGTCATGGGACCCATCCCTCTCAGAGTCGCATGATCGGAGGCGTGTGCATTGTTGGGCTCTGGCATGTTGCTCCTGTGATCCTCGCTCCCACGGAGGTCAGACGGAGTCTGGATGGGAGAGACTGGACCAACTCAAGAGATTTTGGTCGGGACGAAGGTGGGATCAAGGGCCACTTTCGACATTATCGAGTCTTGACATCTCGTTTAGCCTTTTCGTACTGGGGAGTGCGTTGCTCTCTGTATGCCACTCAGATCGTGCTGAACACCTGGCTGCCCAGAAGCTATGCCATCGGCCGACATCCAAGCACAAATCTGGCCCCTGCTGCAAACTGTGGCATGCCAGCTTTGTGTCCTCTCAGGTGCAAGTGCTGAGATTCATGAGTTTGGCTTCTACGAGGGCGAACAGCCACCACGGTTCATGCCAGCGGCGACGGCGAAAATCTTTGGATGCGAATACACTCAACTCATTCAGCATGTGCTTTGCGCGCTGGGCTGCTGCCTTGACTGCCTCCTGTTGGCTCAGACGGCGAGTCCTTCAATTCGTTGGGCTCTGCATGAGCATGTCTCACCGCCGCAACTGAAGATCGCAGCAAAGCGTTGTGCAAGCACAGCCTCTCAGCATCGCAGAGCTCGGAAGTGTAAGAAATGATTCATCGACTGCTGTCGAGCTAATACTACAAAAGCCTAGCTGACCCTGTTCCCCATCCACGAGCCATGCTTGCGAGGGTGTGTCAAGTGGGGCGAAGGTGGCCCAGCATCGCCGGCGCCGCGAAGCAACAGCGCTGAGCTTACATCTGGGCAACCGAGGATCGCATGGGCCTCGCCTCGCATGCCAGGTCCGAATTCCAGGCTGACAGGCCAGTACGGGCAGAGCTGGTACATGCTGGTACTGAGCTGCTGAGTACATGAGAAGCTCTGTCACACATGCCCACCGAGGGTTTGCTCGAACTCGCGATAACCAGAGTGCGACACATCTTGGTCGGTTTGTGTGAAAAGGCATCCTTGTTTCTGTGGACGCAGTAGTGATGCTGTGCCACTTCCAGCTTGCTTGAGCCATGGCATAGATGGAGCCTGCGGCGCTGAGCTGCGACTTACCGGTGCTCGTATGCATCCTGGTATGAAATCTAGACTAGCCATTACACGTTGTGTCTTCAGACTGTGGCCCAAGGTACTCTCACCTACCTGTCTCTGGAGGAGAGCACGAGAGCGAGAGCGAGAGAGGAAACAGCCCCCTACGCCCTGATGAAGAAGAGGAAACTGTGGTGGTTGTGAGTTCGGCAGCGATTACTGGTTGTTGTTTTGCTGGTGCAACAGTGCCAGCAGATGCCTGTGAGTCTGGGACTGCACATGGCTTTGCAGCTCGCAGTGAGGATACTTTGCGGTGCGCTCAAGTCAGACACACCTGGCGCCAAGCCGCCAGCCAGCCGGAAGCTTTGGTGCGGGTTCTGCATCTTCCAGGCTCTTGCAATCCCAGAATCATCGAAACCGACTTGGGCGTCTGCGCGCTCTTGTGTGTGTGTGTGCGCATGTGATTGTGGGTGTTTCTTTGTTGATTGGGAGGTGACGATGGTGATTCAACTCCGGAAGGCCTTCGTAGACTGCTGGGCAGAGGCTGCCTGAAGCATGTGGAGCTGGTGGAAATTGCTGGCGGATGATGCTTGGCCCAACTTCTGTGCATTTGCTACAGGGCAGCCTGAAAGGTAGCGCTATGTTTGCTTGCTGTCCATTTGAGGTAGCTGGTTCCCCGCACTTGTTGGAGAGCTGCCGGACTTGCATCAGCTTCGAGTACGCGGAGCCTGCAGCAGTCCGTGCGGGGGCAGGCTCGGCCAGTACGGCAAGCAGATGTGTGTGTGTGTGTGCCCTATGGGACCAGTCCTCACCTCAGGCCCAAGCTTGATGTGGACCTGGCCTTGAGCAGCTTGGCCGCATGTGACTTCCTACCAGCAGGTTCTACACGTCAGACCAGCAGTGTCTCAGGTAATATTCTCGCTGTCTCATCGCGGCTGACTGTTCTGGACTTTAGCTACGACGGTTGTGGTCCCTCGGGTGCACTGTGTCACTGTGCTTGTCAGAACTTGTAACTGCATGTCCAACAGCAACGTACTGTTGTGCAATCTCTCTCTATTCTCATACAACTGATCCCGCGTGTGCAGCTGTGCATTCAGCCGGTAGCGTGTGCTACGTGCTGGGCATAGCGATCTTGTTCAGCAGACTAACAGCTCTGCTTGCTTCGGCTCTCCTGTGCTGGTCATGCTAGCCCTGTGGTCGTGGCCCAAGACTCAGAATCGCCTTCACTGCATGGCCAGCCACACCAGTCATGCAAGAGTGTTGGTCTGTCTCGACCGGCTTGGACAGACCACGCGCCGAGTTGGGCTGCCCATCGAGCAACCCTGCAGGAGGTGCAAGGGGAACCGTGATGGGTATGCGGGCCACACAGTATTGCTCTCGAAGCTCCTCATGTTTGAATCGCTGGCGGATCACGCCGATCACGCACTCCTCGTCCCTCAGACAGATTTTGCCTAGTGCGGGGCCATGCTCCTGGTTGGAAACTGTGGCTGGAAGTCTCACAAGGTGAAGGTACAACTTAAGCCGGGCCGTCCAGCCATTTCCGTGCTTTTGGTCTGCTTCCTCGGTTTGTCTCGAACAAAGTGGACGTTCTGTTGCTTCGTGTCAAGCATGCGATTTACTGCGAGCATGATCGTCACGCAGGACAGGTTGCAGCAGGAAGTTGTGGTGGCGTGGGTGCAGGCAAGGGAGGCGGCGCCGCTGAGTTGTGTGTGGTTGCGAACTTCGAGATTGCAGTTCTGAAAGACATAATATGTTTTTCTCATTGCTTTCTTGATCATCTGGGCTGGCTGCGGCGGGCCTCGGGCGAAGAAAAAATTGTCGTTGGCACTGGGCGCCTTCATTGACGACCGGTAGCTGAGCCACACTCGGGGCTCCTGTGTTTCGGGCCGGGCAACAGGCGTGCGGGTTGAGTACTTGATCTCCTGGAGCCTTGGACTGAGTTGCCTGGCAAGGGCCCTGCGGACGACTGCATGAGACCTTCGGGGTTTTCTGGTTTCCCCGGCGTAGGTGAAACCAGCCGTGGCAGGCTTTGTTTGAGAATGGGGGGCTGCTATTCCTTGTGAGCCTGAAAGGCCAAGTGAAGAGGCACTGTGTCCCAGTGCCGCATAACAGGAAGAGCATTGTACAACTGACTCTATGCGGGCAGTTGTGCATTCAGCGGGCATCTTGTGCTGAACTTGTTCGACGCAGAAAAGGAGCAGAGTGCACTTGCTGATGCGATCTTAGACATGGCAAGAGTTCAGGCATGTTCAGGCTGAGGTGTTCAAGAGTTGAGAATTTCTTGCATGGCTTAGCGAAGCGTTCAAGAGCTGCAGATGCAGTTCCAACTGAAGATGCGTTTTCCTAAGCTTACTTACGCTTGGTCGCGGTAGTGGTTGCCAAAGGCTTGTGGAGGGGGGGACTGAAACAAGTATCCGACGCTTCCTTTCTGCTGTCGAAAGAATCGTGCTCGTTGCCGATGTTTCATCGATGCTTCTCGTTTGCATTGGCATCGTTGGCCTTTGGGCTCGTGCTGTGCCTGCTCATCGCGGATGGATTCCGCTGACAGCACCAGTCCAACACTCGACAACCTTCGCTTTCATCCACGAGCCAAGAGCTGCAACGTACGACCATGACGGCAGCATGACACAGACAGAAGCTGCAGAAGAAAGAATGCAGCAAGAAACTTTGATTCGACGATGCATGCATGAAGCTTGCCGATGTGCTGGCATAGCCGTAGCCCGGAAGCAGTGCCGTGAATGATTGCTCGTCTTCGCCAGGCTCGGAACGGAGTTCCCGCTGGCCGGCCATGCCGTCGCTGGCAAGACTGCGTGTTGCTCGACTCAAAGCCAAATTTAGCGCCACGGCCTGACAACAGGGTTCAATGAGAGAGCATCTTTCGCGGATTTCCAAGGTACAGAGTCTGCCGCTCCGTTTTGCAGATCTGCCAAATCTTTTCACAGCAAAAGACCTGGAATGGCTGGAGCTACAGGCGCGCGCGTGCGATGCATGGGCCTAGGCCCTAGGCCGAAGGGCAGCATTGCACACCTCCAGGCATGCCCGCTGATGAGTTCTCAGACTGGCATTGCCTGGAGCTCACAGGTCGAGTCACAAGCCCGTGTGGCAGGTTGAGGCATGATGATTGCACGTCCATGGGTATCTGATGCCATTTCGTTCTTGGTTGCATCCAAAAACATGAGGTTTCTTTCGGGGCCAAAGTTCAGCCTCGCCATTTGAAAGTACTTCGCTGTGGTGTGCAGATGGCCAGATCCATAGCCGAGTCGTTGGGTACAGTGATATGTGCCGCCTTCGTTGCGTGCTTTTAATCTTGTGGATGCGACCTGACATCAAGCAGCCAAGGCTTTGACTTTGCTTCTCTCCGTGTGCTTGGAGCGGCTGAGCTTTCTGTACCTGGATCCGCCCACTGACTCGCGCATGCAGGTGCACTGAGAGTTTAGACTGGCTAAAGTCAGGTGCGCAGCTCGTCTCGGAATGTAACCTGCACCTGCTGTTGACAGTTTTGATTTCATTTTGCAGGACGAGCTTGCAAAGGCTTGTGCACCTCAGCTCGGCGGCAATGATCCCAATGTGGATGCTACGATCCAAGCTACTGATGACGGCATGCATCGAAAACGATGAAGTGATGCAGCCCAGCTCAGGCTTGCACAGACCTACAAGCGCAGGCACATGTCTGGTGAGCTCTCTGAAGTCCGATGTTGTTGACGCTGGCGATGCTGTTGCGCAGGCTCAGCGGGAGCTGCTTGCTGAGCTGCGGCGAGCATCGCGAACATCAAGGCTGGATGCGTCAAAGGTGCGGAGATTTGGAGAGATTGTGCCGATGCTAGGACACCGGAATCCGGTCTCACGCCTTGGCAGCGACTCCAGAAGTGGATGCAGGTGCCAGCGGGGGCTGCAGTCGGTGTGGAGTCCTGTTTCGGAGCCCTGGATCGAGAGTGCATGCGGGCGGGCCCCGGCTGATGAACAGGCCTCCGAGAGGAGCATTGATGGTCATGGGCAGGTTCTTTACAGGACAGTCTCTCCGCATCACTGCACCCATGTGTGTCTGATCTGACGTTTGAGCACATGCACCTAGCATTATCGGTGTGCCTGAAAGGAATCTGCGAGCATCAGTGAGCACGAGCAGCTCCGTCTAGGATGCAGCTTGAGAGAAAAAGGTTGTCTCGGGCAGCAAGTCCCATGCAGCTCTACCAACTTGAAGGCTTTCCGTCTGCCTCCCTCCGTTGTTACAACAGGCGAGTTTCTGCAGCAAGCTGCAGACAGCTATGTGCACTCGTGAACAGCGTGAAGGTACGCTTTGGCCCAAAGGATGGCCGGCCTGGAAGGCGTGAGCACCACAAGTTCGGGGCGGCCGATCGGAAAGGAACGCGCGACGCTCAACAATAAGGGTGAGATGACAAGTTTTGCGTTTCTCTGCTGCGGTCTTAGGTACTACTATCGGTTCCACAAGCTAATTGGGAAGGCAAACTGGCGAAAATACACGGAACGTGCTCCGGCTGCCAGAGTCACTTCGCCAACATGTGAAATTGCTCTGCACCTCAGTGGGCGATGCCAGGTTACATCGCCCCACGGGCAGTGGAGAATCGCCAAAGGCCGCGCAGCTTCATGATTCGATTGATTGTAACAGATTTGGATCAGGTGGATTCCGACACCCTGGCCAACTTGGACACAATCGAAGCATGCGCACTCTTGGAATTGGCGCTTACCCAAGGCCTGCCTTCCGATTACAAGCGAACCATCGCTTAAAGAAGTTCAACAACTAAGAACAGTGCGTGCCTGTCTGCACGGCATTGCACGGCTGCAGGCCTGACATAGGTGCGTACTACATAGAAAATTAGTTTGATAGTCGAGCATGAAGGCATATCATGTACGATAGTATATGTGTGTCATTCTGTAGTGTCACTTCATATCTTGTAGCTCCTTTGCGCTCTGCCTCGAATATTGCAACAGATCGATAGATCCGATAGATGTGAGTAAATGTTTACATAGATGAATGAACAAATAAATGTGTGTATATGTGTATACACACACACATATATATATATATATATTTATTTATATTTATATTTATATTTATATACATAATATAAAGGTGTCTATATATATATACATATGCATATGCATACATAGACATTGTTGCATTTAATATATGTTGTAACGTTGTAGAGCCGTCAACGTGCACATGCAGTATAAATGCCAGTCGACCAATCAGCACTTGTTCATGGACAGTGGTTCCCGCAATCAACGAAAAACGAAATTATGATCTGCTGTGGCAATGGTTAAGTGCGTCAAGTTTTGGAGGCTTCAGGCCACATGACCTCAAAGCACTGAAGCAAGGGGCTGTATGAACTCATGTCTCGATTCTAACCTTGTATTCTAGTATCCCGATATCCAGGCCCGTGATACTCGTTGTGAGTCTTTGCCTGTCATCACCGGCGTTTCGACCTCTTGCTGTTTAGTCATTTGTCCGTAGCTCCACAGAGAAGGCTTGCGTGCTCGACCTTCAGTTGTAGACTGTCGCACTCGCAGATTGGAACTCGGGTTCAATGCGCATTCCTCGTCACATCGCACTCACGGTCATCATCATCTGCTTGACCCATGGATTTAGACGAATTCAAAAACGAAGCCACAATGCAGACAGCCGAGATGTTTGCTTGGAGTTGGCATGGCGCAGGGGCTAGCAGCTGCCACATCTGCCGACGAAGTGCTCGAGGCGTGCTTTCAACGGTCTCAGAACTGGCCTTCTCCCAACACTGGCGATGAAAAAAGCCTCTGAAGTACACGCAAGGTGCTAAACGAGATAGCCGGAAAGAATCCTGAGCCTCGCGATTGGAGCACTGCAGGTATGGGTACAGTTCCGACACAAGCACCCGAAGAGGACTTGTGCCCAATGGATCAGTGCAAAGATACGGCAGACAGGAACGGAGTGAATGAAGTCTGCGGCTTGAGTTTGGCTGTAGGACATTTCACTATTTCAAAGTCCTGAAGCGGCCCCTGTGCTGCAAAGCCCGCAGCATGGTCAATTGTCACCTCACAGCCTTGGAGGCTGACAGACGTCGGCGGCTGTGAAAGAACGGATTGGCGCCTGCGCTTCATTACGCGGCTGCCTTAGGGAGTTTTGCAGCTGTCTGAAGGCTTTTGATTCAGCTCGAGGTCCAGACTTAAAAAGATCCATCGCAAGGCCTGAGCCCAGGCTCAGCAGTCTCAACTTGCATGCTTTTAGCACACTCTAGCCCAGGTGCTCAACTTGCCTCGCTTAGCAAAGTACTATGCCGAGCTGAAGTGCATCGATGAGATGGAGCATGCGCGCTTCTGCGAGTCTTCGCTTCAAAGCAGGATTTTCGTCGAAGAGCCGCTTGGAAGGTATCACGATTTCTCAGGAAGATGCTGCCTAAGCCAAAGCCTTAGGACTTAAGTGAGTAGCTTCTGTGGTCTGTAGGTTTTGTGAGTGAGGTACACGTCGCACCAGCTTGTCCTTGTGGCCCATGCTTTCGCCATTGCCAAACTGCAGGACGACTTAGCTTTGACACCAACATGGCTGAATTGCTGGCTGTTAGTTCTGAATGGGCAGGACAAGCACATGATGGAGGAGGTTGCCAGACTGGTGGAGTTTGCACCACGGATTCGCCTACATACTGTTCGGTCATGTCCTTGCATGTCCTTGGCCAAGGCCGCAGCTCAGCGAAATCACCCCAATTGAAATGGTTCGACTGGCTCAGGCAGGGACGCAAAGACAACAATGCTCTGCTGTTGATGGCTGCAGACATTGAGTGCATCCCATCAGAGGCCTATGCCAGCACAGAAGTGTGTCATTACACGCTCCTAGGGCCGGTACCTGAGTCGGAGACAGTGGCATCCCGAGTCCTGCCTGGGACAAAGAAGCGCAGGCAGATTTCGGCGCAAGTCGGGCTCTAATCCCCCCAGGTACGAACTTGTGCGCAGACCGCAGTTTGAGGCGCAAGTTCGTGTGCAACAAGCCTCGGAGGGGCAGGTGACGCTCTCGGATTCTCTCCCGCGTAAAAGAGCCAAGAAATCCGTTGGGGGCTTTTCAGGGCCTTCCTGGCTCTTGCCCGTCCTTTCTGCAGCTCGCGGAGCTGGCGGAGGCCTTTGCCCATCTGAAATTCCAGGCGCACATTGATGTGCGACGACGATCCCAGAGTACCCCCCACTGCTGAGCCGCCGCTCTGAGGACTACTCCTTCCTGGAGATGGCATCCTTCCAGGCGATCGGAAGCTGGCGCCATGCGGCAGATGGCAGCAGTTCCTCAGGCGGCGGCGCTGCTGAGGGAAGGCCGCGCAGGTCCAACACCGCATATGGCTTGGAGAAGACTGGCCCAGCTTTGAGGGTGAGGCGACCCCCTTTTGCAAGCCCGATTTTCCTAGTTCAAGGCCAGCTCTGGCGCTGCTGTGCAGGGCCTGTGCACGCTTAAAGGCTAGCTGAAGCCCCGAGCCCTCCATGCCCTCCCGCTGCAGCTCGAAGGTGCTCGAAGTTCAGCTTTTCGAGGCATTACATCCGAGCAGCGACATCTACTTAGATACACGTGCTCCTGGCAGGCCGTCCTCGCTCACGTCTCTGAGCATTGGCGCAGCCTGGCCTGAGTCAAAAAGAGTGGATGCCCTGGTCAGAGACAGGTACGATTATCCGGCCTCGTGCCTAGCTGACATCGGCCTGGCCCTGGCGCCTGTGATGCCCACCTCAGAGCCAGTGATGGATGTGCCGGCTGCTTAGCTGGCTTAGCTTAGGTTCCCGCATGGCAGGAGGCTATGCCCGCAAAGGAACTGCTCCCCGAGGTATCGCAGGATGCTCAGCCAGATCCGTCAGGATCGCGATACTTTGAGCTTGAGGCAGGTCACATCCCATGCTCGTAAAATCGATGCTTGGGCTTGGAGGGCCTACACGCAATGCTACAGGCAGGTCGGCACAGCCGTCCGCTTCATGGCAGAAGTGGATCACAAGGGGGAGTTCATGCCCGGCTTGGCCCAGGTGTGAGCAATGCTTCCGCGGCTCGGCCATAGCTTTCTTCGTGCCTTTGCGCAGGTATTTGCACGTCGTCTCATGGACTTGAGAGATGAGACCAAAGAGTGTGCCACTCTCATGGCATGAAATCGGCTACGGAAAAGCAGCATCGATGTACAGGCTACGATGTGGCCCGAGTTGCAGAGATCTTCTCGAGACGATGCATGCCGCTGAGAAGAGGAGCCGTCATACGGGCAGAGCTCTGATCCGATGAAGGATGTTGAGTGCCAAGGCCCAGAGGAGCACGCCTTGTTCTCGACGCTTTGTCGGGCACTCCTTGATCAACTGCTCGGAGTGCACCAAAGCTAGACACGTTCAGGCCGGCACCTGCATCGTCACCTTGGCTTCTTTGAACCAGTGGACTTCGTTCGATTCGCTCGAGGCCGCGTGTGTAATGTCGTACAGCACAAATCAGTGTGGGGCAGTCGTCGTAGGCTTAGCAGCAGCGGAGTGGCTGGGCTGCAATGAGTGAAATTTTGAGTCACCCGAGCGGTGTTCCTTGTCCGGCCGTGGTCGATGTGTATTGTTGCGGTTTTTGTACAACAGACGACCTATGCAGGTATCGCGATGATCGGGTCGCCCATGCACTTCCCAAGTGGGTCCGCGACTTGCAAACACACTCAAGCATTCGTAAGGCAGTTCAGGGCCATCCGGAGCTTTGGAAGCAGCTACGATGGCTTGCACGGCCACAGTAGCTCACGAGGCGGTTTGGTAGCTTCGGTTCATTTCGGTTCGCTGTTTTGGAGGGCTTAGGCGCCTACAGGGCCTCACACGGATGGAGGCAAAGCATCAGCACGCTATCAGCACGCTAAAAAGCTCCCAGGCCGAAAAGCGGCTCCGGGAGTTCTCTCCGCACGACTGGGCACTGCTGGCATGGCCAAATACCTCCTTGGTGGATCTTTGCGGATGTACATCCATGCCACGCATCCATCCTGTGTGTGCATTTTGTGCTTCTGTGTTCTATGTGCAGGAAATAGGTCAATAGATTAATGAATACAAACCCACAAACCTATATGCATGCAGCAACAGTATCCGTACATGTATATGCATCGGTATGTAAGTAAATAAACAAATCAGTATAAGTACAAGTAAATATACGTATACATATGTGCATATATATATATATACAGCACATGCTCTCGGTTCCCGGACCCAACCCCCGCCCCCCCTTTTCCAGAGGAATCCCCCCCACCACTGTTGTATGGTGCTGGTGCAGCTTGGGGTTGCCCGCGCCTGCGTATTGGTGGTGTCGCACGTCCCCCCCCCCCGTCCCCACGGTCAGACAGATCGACCATGCTAGACTAGTTTTGCATTGGTGTTACTGGTAGCATGCGATTGGATGGCATCAAACAGGCACAAAGGATGTGGAACCGTGGTAGAATTATGGGGCTGGTGCTTGCATGAGGTAGGTTTGAAGCAAAGGTCGCTGCAAGGCTGTTGCGCCATGAGTTCGCACATGTCCGGAGTAGCTCATGGCAGGACTCGTTTCTCACCTCGATGAGCAGACTTGGAACCTCCACGGAAAAGCTGTCTCAGCTGCGAGAGAGCGGTCTGGAGCTTGGTCGCCTGCTTCGAAGCCCTATAAGCGTGGAAGAAACGAAGCTGCCGGTTTTCAGGCCCTGCACCGCCGACCGAGCCTGCCACCTTTTCAGGAGGTCAGGCGGCACGAGCAGCACTTGTCTCGCACCCAGATGATGTGCTGGCTCCGTCCTGAACACTTCGCTTTGACCGATCTGTGTCCTGTGCCTGCTTTCCTTCGGGTGCGTCCAAGGCCAGATCGACGCAGGCTGAGCGCGAAGCGGTAGCCCCATAGTCTCATAGTTGATACAAAAACAAAACTGCGAGCCACTGGGCATTGCATCGGATGTGAGGTGCTTCTCATGGCAGTCATATTCCTGGAGCATATCCGCAGAGCTTCGACCTAGACCCTAGAGCTTGATTCCCCCTGCCACTCTTCAACAAGCCCGGGCGGAACACAACAGATTTAGATCAGCACGGCAAGTTTTGCCTCGGTCATGCTGCCGCTGGTTCTGTTTGCTTCAGCTTAGACTAGGAAGGAGCCTGGCAGCAATTGGCGCAAGGCCTGGCAACGGGAATGTACTTTCCGGGGCTTGACACGAAAGCGAGAGACTCCTACAGGAGCGAGCGATGGCCGACGCCAGCCTGGCGAGCAGGCCATGCGTTTTGCTAATGGGTCCAAGCGAGGTTTGCAAATCTCGCGAGTTTGCTGTTCTCAAGCAGATCTATGGTCGCGCTGCGCATAAAGTTTGTGAAAGCAGATGCTGCTCCATGAAAATATGTTTCATCTGTCGCGTTTTGACTCAGGTTTCGTGCCCCTGCAGAGTGCCAGGCCAGAAGGGCATGAGAACAGCTCCCAGAGATGTCAGATCTGATACCAGCAGATCTATCAGGGCTGGAATTCTCAGATCCATCGGAACACCTGACGATCGCTTGCTGAGCTATTCGAGACGGGGTAGCTGAAGCGGCTGTTGAGGAGAAACTTGCCGAATTACACAAGCGATTCGCTTTCAGCGAGGTCGAATTTGAGCCCAGTTCTCGGATGTAGGCATGCAAACTTTCTACTGGCTACACTCACGGAAGTACCCCGCTGACAGGTGCTTCGAAGCCAATGCTGGCTCACTTACCACCACCAAGCTGCCGCAGTTCGGGCCTTTACGCCACGCCTCTGACAGTAGCGCGCAGCGCATGCAACGAAGGTGCTGTGCACGCAGTGTGGCAGCATTTCTGACGCACGTCCGACCAATCGGTGGCCAGTCTGCCCAAAGGTTTGAGGCTTACCTGCAGAAGGAGAAGGAGAGAAAAGCGCCAAAGAAGCACACCTGGCTTGTTGCCAGAAAATCCGTCCAAGCGGTCGGAAGCTCGAGTAAGTTACTGGTTTCAAGTTGAGCCATCTCTCCTACCGATAACTGCCAACAGAACGTGTTCGTTTGCCTTGCCAGATCATCATGTCTTTAACGGCGCGCCTCCGTCCAACGTCCCTTCTGCCAGGCCGGTGGTTCGCCCGCAAGCACGGCCTTTGGGAGGTCGCACCCTGACAATGATGACCATCTCTTGATATCAGACCACACGGAAGTCATTGCAACTTGTTGAGCTCGTCGGGCGGTGTAATTTTGGCTCCCTTCTTGAATGTGGCCGACATTGCGAACATTCAAATTCCAATGTCGAGGTTTGTGCACAGAACCTGTGGACCACAAAAACTTGCAAGAAATCACTCCTGCCGATCCGTTTCGGAACGAAGCCGCCCAGCTACACAGCAGAATACAGAAGGCCGCCACTCTCCCGGCCCCTGCCTACTGGCCCACGCAGCACTTTGCCCGAAAGTCGAGAGAGAGAGAGAGAGAGAGAGAGAGAGAGAGAGAGCGAGCCTCTCTATGAACGGGGGAAGTCAATCATGTTTGCACGTGTTTGGGAGAACATTCGATCATCCTCTTTCCTGTATCCTTAATTATTATTCAGCTTTAGCGCATTGGATGTTCAATGTTCGCTCGTCACTCCCCAATGCCTGATCAATATGATCGGGTGGGCCAACAGGCCCGGGGACGGTGAGATGTCCCCATGCCCGGGAGAGAGAGAGAGAGAGCCGTAGCCATTTTGGCTCAAGTGCTGCAACCTTTGCTTGGAGGTCTGTTCCACCTCCTTGCATCGGGGGGGAGGCAGGAGGTTGACCTGGGGCCCGTCCCTAGGGGAGCCTTCCTGTCTTCCTCCAGCGGTGCTTGAGCCAACATAACCGACGCATTTCTGCTTAAGAGGCCCCGAACACGTTCGCTAGGATTTCTCGCAATAACCGTGAAGGGCAAAAGTGCTGACCTACGTCTCTGCGGGGGACCGAGTGAGTGCAAGATCTTCCTCGTCGACACTTTTGCAGGGGAAGCGACAGACTTCTTCACTCACCGCCACCTAGCAGTGATTGCCACGGCGACACGCTGGGTGAGGCGCACCATCACCTCAGAGTCCGTGACTTGGGTCAAGAAAAAAGAGATAGCATTGAACAACTACGTGGGCCATGGCTGGACTGGAGGGGATGGCAGGACCGGAGGGGAAGTTTGCAAGCTATGCCGCTATGCTCAAGGGATGTGTCAGATCGGTTTTAGAAAAAGCCACGAACGCACCGATCCACAATGCAGGTTGCATGGGGTGACAGGACGAGCGTCGGGGGCAAAATCAGCCCCGAAGCGCCAGGCCAGCCCTCCCCCGGGGGGGGGGGGGACACCTGCCACGACCTCTACTACGACGTCCCGCTCCGACAAGGTCCTCTTTCGAACACGGAGGGGATTGCATCTGCAGTATGACCCAGAGCCGAGCATAGACCAATGGATAAAATCCGAGGTGCAGTTTGACTGGGAAAAGGGAAATACATGAAGCCTACGGGGGAGGTGCTCAGCGCGACCGAAGAAAGAACTTACGAACACTACCGGAGCAGACATATTACTCGTTGCCGTGCGGGGGACTTGGCAGATAAGCTTACCCGTATGACGGACAAGTACCTCCCGTTGGTCGCCAACGAAAGCAGAGTCTTCATCATGCGCTTCCCCGAGAAGGTTCCCAAACTGCTGAAGCGAGCGCGCAAGGTCCGAAGACGGATCAAGGCCACCAAGCAGGGGGACACCAAGGTGGCAGTGCAGCCCCAAGGAGGGGAAAGAGACAGAAGCATGTGACAAGGGAGAGCAAAACAAAGGATGCAGTGCCAATGTCGAGGGGAACAAAGACAGAGCAGCATGCGACAAAAGGGCACGACGACCAGGAAAGCATCCCTGACTGGGGGGACGATGCCGTGGATGATGCCGTGGACACCGCGGAGGAGAACCTTGCAATGACGACTGCAGCTCATATGGCCGAGGGGGACGATGCTGCCTCTATGTGGCCTTGGGGGAATAGAGGCAGACCCTCAGATAGGGGGGAAAGCGCTGGGGTCCTCGCCCAACGACCCAACTTGCCCAGTGCAGTACCCAGAAGGCAGAGTTCACAAAGGGGGAGCACACTCCAGCAAGCTGTGCAACTGGTCCAAGCACATATGGCGCCACGACGTGAAGAACGGGGACGACTACGACCAGAACTGAGCCGTGAGTGAGTCGGGGGTCTTTTTGCCCATCTACATTTTGCAACTACTCGTACCCCGCCTTCCTTATGCAGCTTAAAGGGGGGATGTTCAATTGCTTGAGTGCTTGGTTTTTGCTTTCTGCATTGGGAAGGGGACCATGTACCTCAATCCTCTAATGTAGTTTTGTGAATGGCAACCTGAACCATTCCGTGAGTGCATGTTCGATCCAACTCGAGTAACTCGACACCAAATAATTTGGACATAGGCGGGGGAGCGAAATCTTTAAACGGGCCATACGTCTGGCTCTTCTCAGGTAAACTCATTCCGATTCGGGCCAAATGCCCCAATCCCCATGTCTTTTCAACGCCCCTCTAGCCCTGCTTGTCCTTTCCTGCTGTGGGGGGCGGATTGACCAGACAGTGCGGAGCTTAGTTTGGCTGCATGTGCGCGCTTAGTTGAGTTGTTTGTTTCTCTGGGGGAAGGCACTGGTCAACCGCCCCAGTTCAGTTTCAGTGTAAAGCCGAGCCCCCTATGGCAACTTCCCGTAGGGGGGACCAGGAAGACCCGTTGAACTGCAGGGGCGCGCTCGCGCGCGGGGGGTAGAGCTGGACCGCTCTGCCCCTCACACCTGGTGTAGAGAGAGAGAGAGAGAGAGAGAGAGAGCGACTGGCACATGTGCCTTCTCTCTGTCTGTGTGGAAGAAGAGAGCGACTGGGACTACAGTCGCGGCTGGAACATCTTCTTGAGCGTTTTGGCTGTTCGTACGTTGATGTTTGTCTCAAGTAAACACATGATATTAATCTCCCCAAAAGCCCCGCCCAACCAATGATGGGGGGCCCAAGAGGCCGGGGCCGGGGGCTTCAAAACAGTCCAGCAAAGGCCCGCCCTGGAAGAAGACTGGTCGTCGCTAGGCGCATCTTCCTGACGATGGAGTTCCCGTGTGCCGCTGAAATGTCCCTGCAGGGGATGTTGAGCACACAGGTGTTTCCGCAATATCCTGAGTCAGGTCTATCGCTCACTGCCTCCCAATGGCCCGGTAGCAAGGGCAGGCTTGATGTGGACCCCCTGACATGCCACTGAAGCCTGAGACAAGGGACGGGAAGAGAAATTGAGAGAGCAGGGAATGTACAGGTTTGCCAAACTCGCAAGATGATGTGCGATGCGACCTCAAGCAGCGCAAATGCACCCGATGTGTTGCTTCTCCGTTCCCTTCGTGCTGCTCGCTGCCTTGCGGCCTATTCAACTTCAGATCTAAATCTTCAATCAAGCGAGCATTTTGCCAGTGAGACCTCCGCTTGTCCGACTTTAGGCGACATCGCCCTGAAACGTCAGTGGCCTGGGCAGGCAGTGTCGCTCTCATTGCTCCTAGGAATCTAGGCGACCTTCACACTGCATGCGATGAGAAGGCATCAACTTCACAGCCCAAACGGGCACGGGAGGCGTTCACGGGATCTGCCGTTTCAATGTGACTGGTCGCTGAATGTTACCTCTGCGAATTACTCAAGGCTGATGCGAAGGAAGAGCCAAGAGGGGCGCTACAGAATACTCCTATGCAGCCAGGCTCCGCAAACGCGCGTTTTCATTCAGCACAGTTTGCCGTTGCCGAAGGAGCAACTGCACCTAGGGCACCAATGCAGGCAAGAGAAGAAGCGGAAGCAGTCAGCTGAGATGTCAACTGTCAGCCGCAGTCTATGGAGGTTTCAACGAAGAGTAGCAATGCTTCCAACCTGGACAGACCGACTCGGCCACACACCTAATTTCAGAGGAGCCGCCTTAGAACAGATCTCATTCTGGCAGCCAACTTGTGTGGCATCTGTTTCCTGAGGTCTGTGCTCCCTGTGAAGGTGCAGGAAGCACCAGGCCTCCCCGCATGACACGCTTGAACGAACATTTGGCTTCGCAGGAATGCTTGCCGCTTGCCCGCCTGAGCCGCACCTGCCAAGGTTTGCTCAACGTGCGTGATGTCTTGAATCGGATTCTTTCGCTGTAGGGATCCCCGCGAGCACTCAGGATCCTCCTATGTAATCATTTCGAGCCCACAGCACTCATAGTCATGCTACTTTTGGACACTCCCATGTGGCAGCGTGGGCCTGCTGCTCTGCGTAGGCGATCGCGATTCTTCGCCCTTTTGTCCGCACTTTTTGTCCACATCGGCTGGCGCTTGTGTTGGCTAGGTTCAGAAGCGGCAGCGACAAGAAACTGTTGCAACGATCTTTCCATTGTGTTGGTGACCTCGCCGATTCCTTCCCATCCCTCCACTGAGTTGGTGGACGCAGTTATCCGAAGCTTCGACTTGGTACAAGGCTTGAAACTATGCCCACTTGTCATTGTCGCGGACGGTGTTCAGGTACGGGCAGGCCGGCCGTCATGGAATCGGGGCAGGATTGACGAGAGCACGCGGCAAAGGTATCTTGGGTATGTCGATGCTTTGAGGTCGAAATATGAATCATCCGGAGCGCTTGACCGGCGTTCGGTGAAGGTGGTGGGTCCATTGGCAAAACGTGTCAACTTCGGACATGCAATTCTTGCAGCCCTTGGCGAAGTGCATACGGAATTTGTTCTGGTTGTGCAGCATGATCGGGTTTTTGCCGAGCCGCTGGACATGAAGAACGTTCTCAGCATCTTCGACAGGTACAAAACTAAGGGCCTCAAATATGTTGGGTTTCAGACTGTTCCTGACTATGTGACGTATGCCGTGAGCAAGTACGGCGGTTGGGCACGGAGCGAAGTCTCGGCAAGCGTCACTGGCTTGATCCCATGCTTCATCTGGTACGATTCAACTCACGTTTGCCGCACAGGAGACTTGACAAAACTGATCGTGACGGAGGTGAAGCCCGGAGAGTTTATTGAAAGCTCCTTCGGTTGCAGACTTCTAGCAAAGATTCAGGAGAACAAAGAGGAATGGAGCTTCACGTACCACATGGAACACTATGGACTCTTTCTGTACTACGAGCCGACGGTGGGCACGCAAAGTCCGGAACTCAAGCATAATCGTGGCGCCGTCTATCATGTTTGGAGATAGTTGTACTGAGATCACAAGATGTAGTTTATTCCCCTCTTGAGGCTCCGACGAAGTGTCATTTCAGTTTTGATCCGTCTGTTTTGACCTGTGTCCTGCTGGCAACAGACACTGTGACACAGGGCGGGGCAGGAAGAGCATTTGCGGATTGTTTTGAGCATGGACCTGATTCATGTTCATTAGTGCAGCGCTCTCCCTGCACTATCACCCACCCGGGTTTCAGCTCGTGCTCCCAGAGAAGCGGAACACTGCCATGAAAAGTATCCAAAACCTAGCTTCCAGCCACTCAGTTCTCATGATCATGGCAAGCCTGGCTCCTCTGCCCCGAAGCCCGGCTCAGTCTTGGCAAGCTATCTTTGTTCCCACTAAGGCCCGCTGGTGAGACACGTCAGTGGCCGGTCCTTTGTGTCCCGCGAAGAGCGCATCAAGATGGGCTGGCCGGCAGAGAGACCTTCAGCTGCACGGCGTGTTCGCCAACCTGGCGATGCCCGAAGGAATCTGGATGAAATGCCGGCAGGAGATGCTAAAAACTGGCTTGCGTGCATATGCGAAGTTTCTGAGACTACTGTCGCTCACCATTGCTTAAACCTTCGATCCAAAGCTGCACAGGTTCCCAGAAAGTCACATCCTACAGATGGATCAATGAGGCCAGGGCACATCTGACAAAGACACACGAGGGGCATCCCACAAGCTTGTGTTGGTGCTGATCTGTTGTTTCCGGTGCCACAGACCATCGCAGCCCGCGCCGCACTTCGTGACGAGAGACTGCAGGTTTGGGGTGGCACGAGGCGTCTCACTGACACTGACCGCGCTTTTGTCAAGGAATGGGAAGCTTTGGTCGTCTCGGAGATGCAGATCCGAGCTCCAGAGGCGCCTGCATTTTGCGTGAGCCTCGCGCGAGGGGGCGAAGCGGAATCAGAAGGGATGTTGGCCGTAGGTAGCTGTGGGTACAGTGGGTGCCCAGCGCCAAGGGAGCGAAAGCATATTCCTGCGCTGGCACATAGGCCTCGCAGTTCCGACCCAGGTTCCCTGTCAGAGCGAGAGCATCCTCTTCGGCCGCATCGCGTGTGAGGCCGGGGCCGCAAAGCCTGATTTCGCTTGCATCTCACACATCCGTGCTACCAACCGTGTTGTACCTCAAGCTGCCCGCATGTAACGAGCAACGACACCGCCTGATGCAGGGCTTTGAGGGCCGCCTGAACGACCGCTCTATCATGCCTTGCTTGCACGTTTGTCCATGCCCGAGTCTTTGCATCGACAGCATGCGCTGACAGCAAGGCTGGAGGGGCCAAGCGTTGCCAACACCAAGGCTGTAGATGAGCCAGAGTGAAATCTAGATGCATAGACTGCAGTCAAGCAAGGTCGTGCTGTGTTGGAGCAGGTGCGCTTGAACGTTGCAGACTGCAAGCAGATTGCGGCGTTTCCTGGGCAGATAGCCTTGGCCTGAGATCGTAATTGGAGAGGTATACACATTGCTGGAGCACGCTCCCAGAGATGCGTTAATGCAAGGTCGGTGTTGTCGGCCGCAGCGGCATGACTGGCAGCACCTTCCATGTTAGCGATTTTTTGCCAGGCCTGCGCTTTCACAAAGTCTTGCATGCGATCGCACGCGTGCGCAGTGCATGTCCCTAGTGTGCACGCGCAGGACTTCCGATCCAAGGAGAAGCCATGGCGCCAGAGTCGTCTCTGCATGCCATGATTGTGGCCGGCCCGCGCAGGGCTTGGAAGGGTCATGAAGAGCCACTAGCTTTCTACTCTTACAGTGCTTGTAGATCAGGACCCGACCCCCAATTACAGAGTGGTCGATGTAGAACACGGCTCAACATGCCCAGGGGGATGCAGGCTTCCCCGGATCTCGCTCACATTCGCCATGCGGGGATGCAAGTGGTCTGTTGATAGATAGAAGCTAGCGGCATGGGTCCTGCTGATCTTGTGATGCAGGCAATCACGAGCAAGTGAGAGATACAGTAATCGGGAACCAAGGGAATGGGACAGCAGTGGAATTATTTCAACGATGTGTCAGGGATTTTTGTCGTGGTCCTGCCTCAGCCCTCGCAGGCTTGGGAGTTTGGAAGTGGCATACCGGAGGTGTGAATTTGCTGCTCACAAATGTGCAGGATGCTGCCTGGCGGTGGGACATAAATGACCATGTGGAACCTGTCCAGTCATCGAGAAAAGATCACTTGATCTTAGCAAGGCTGTGTCTGTCAATACATGGGCAGAAGATTCGAAAGATTCCTCCCATGATCTCCAAAACCTGTTACGAGACAGCGGCATGCCGTAGCACCTGCACGCTTTCACCTCCTGTTGGTTTTCATGTTGCAACCGGAAGCCGTCCCGAACCGAAGGCAACCAAGGCCTCCTGAAGCTCGTTTTGGAAGGGGAAGCTGTTCTGAAGTCAGTGCTCTAGTGGATAGGGAGCGCAGGAGCGGGACACCGAGGTTCAGCCAACGTGACCGACTCGACTTCACAGCTTTGCAGAGTGCATTGGCTCACGCCCAGATCGAGCGTCCGCAGGTCGGGCGGCTGCTTTTGAATTCTCGAGAACTCCGCTAGCAATGAATACTTATGATGCGCTTCGTCTTTGTGGCCCAAGCTGCCGTACGGTCTGGGAACCTTGTAACTCCAAGTTCGCATGCTGACGGCACGGTCAGCGTGAACTCAGCACTCGATGAGTAACCGGTCTCCTACTCGTTGCACAGCACCGAGCAACGGAGGTACTCAGCCCCATGTGCCTTCCCAGACTTGACTGTTTACCTGTCCTTAGCCACCGCCTTCAAGTGCAAGTCTATGCAAGTCTGCATCTCCACCGTTGCTATGATACCTGGAAGTCGACTGGCACTCGATGCTGCCAGAAGGCGCATGTTGCCTATGTTGCCTGCGCCTTGAGCTGTCCGCTTCCTTCCTGGAAACGGAGGCACCAAGAGGGATTCGGAAGAAATCCGTTTGGACGAAGACACTGATCTTCCAGCACTGCCCTCGGAAAGTCAGAGAGGGACGTGCGACCACAGAAACTTTAGACCATCTGATTCTATCTTTCTTACACAAGGAGCCAGCAAAATTTGCAGCGCCGAAGCGAGATGTGTTCGGTTCGCAGCAGGCGCTTCGAGTCACAAGGCAGGCGAGCAAAGAAGTGAGAAAGTGCACCACACCTCTTCAGGCTCGCATCGGTGTCCTGCCGTTGCCTGAGATCCAAAATTAGCTTGGTCAATTCAGTTCTTGGTCAGAAAAGGCGATTTAAGAGACTTGTCAGGTCGCTCTTGAAACTACGGAACTTCTTCAGCTGGACCGGCCAGGGAGGTTCCTCGGTGCGAAAAGACGAACAACTCGCGGAATCTCGCTGAAGGACGAGCTTAGGCTAAACAGATGCCTTCCACAGGCCATGCCCAGTACTCGGTGGGCGAGCTGGAGAGCAAGATCTATGACAACGTGCATCACAATAGCAAGGCGGAAAGTAAGTGCACCTTTCCTGGCAGCTGAAGCATGCCTCAGTTCAAGTTCAGATGCTTCTAAGGGAGAGCTCTTGATGCCGCTGTCCATCTTGTCGGGGGACGCACCTTCCCAGGCGCACAGCAAGGGGACAGGATGCTGGCTAGGAAGCTCAAGTACATGAGCGGTACACGTTGCATTCTCCATCAGTTTCTTGTCATACCCCAACCAGACAGAAGGGTAAGCAAAAGCATTTAACCCTGGAGTGGTGCTACTGGTAGACGGGAGGCCTGGCCCCCTGTGAAGTCGCCGAATCATGTGGTTCGCAACCCTGGCGGCCCTGGCTGGTAGAAAGTCGTGACTGGCAGGCTGCCAGCCACAACATCTTGCTCTTCACGGACTGGAAGGCTTGGGATTGCCACTATGCTCCTGGTCCTGGAAAGTGGCTTGAAAGTGATTGCTTGAAAGGCCCGGTTGGCTTCGCAGGCACAGCACTGGAACTTGCAGAGGTGTCGCAGCCTTCGTAAAGCACGGGCTATCCGAAGGTTTGCCTCGTGGTTGTGCTCGTGTCTTGCATCATATCTCCCATCACCTTCATCTGGGGGGGCAGTTGGGCATGAGCCTCAGATCTATCGGTTGGAGTTCTGCGCAAGTGGCTGCACAGGGTGCAGAGCTCTTTTGAAGTCTCAGTCTTACTCTGATTCGACTTCGAAAGGCTGACCCGAAATGGGTGCCAGGAGGAAGGCTCGCAATGGAAGCTTGTGAAGTCTTCTGAACAGGGCTAGGCAAAGTGTGCATGAGGGTCGTGATGCAGGACGACGATTATTCTCGATTTGTTCTGCGACTTGGGCTACCTCGTCTACCTGGTCTTGGAACTGAAGATGTCTTTCATGTGCTCAACCCAGATGCTAGTCTTCTGTACCCTTTGTGCCAAATCCATCCCGGTCCCATGAATCAGAAGTTCTAAGCTTATCCAAAACCGGCGAATCCTGCCTTCGATTGTCAGCTCCGTGGCCACTCTACTAACTACTAGAAGTGGAGCTGAAGTTGTCCATTGGATGGTGTGTGAAGTGTCAGAAAGCTCAGATCCCACAAGGCATCCATCCAGGAGGGTGGAAGTCGTGGACCCCTCCAAGATCTTGCAGTTCAGGCGCTTCAGCTGCAAGTGGATGGAGCATGAGGTGGATTTGCTCGCGTGTCCTCACAGGCTCAAGAGCACCACTTACATAATGCGGGCTTTCAGTGCTGCGGCCTCTGCTGCAACAGCATGACATCTGCAAAGGGACGAACTGCTGCAACTCAGGCTACATGCTACTTTTGGATCATCGCCTTCAATGCTAGCTTGCTGCTCAATCTCACCAAGCTTGTCCGGATCTACCACTTTGCGCTGGCCTCACTCTATTGGTGACGTTTGGTCACGAAGCGGTTGCTACTCGTGTTTTGCTTCCAGTGATGTCAGCAGGTGCGGCTCCCAGATCCACTTTGGCTTATTTGGGACAACGGTGTCCTACGTGAGCTCAGGCAGGTAGTGCCCCGGAAATCCACAAGCACAAGTCTTCCATTCAAGTTCAGGCCACTCCTGCTCCTTACCTGGTTAGCACATTGGGCCGCGGACTCGCAGACGACAACGAGCGCGTCATCGGACAAAGGCCTCAACAAACAAGCTTCCAGGTTGGTTGCCTTCTGGCGTGGGGTGGTGGATACCGCGAGGCGGACTGTGTCTGTGTTTCAAGAACTTGCTTGTGCCATTGTTCGGGGCTGTTGCATCTCGACAGGCGCTGTGGAATTCAGGTGCTCTTCGGCGACCGTGGGCGATCCGTCACTTGCCCATGTCTTCAACTGCCAGGCGACGGCAGCGAGTTTGAGACCACCTTCAACGGAAGCGTTATTCCGGGCTGGTTCTCCTTGTACTTCAAGGCTTTTGCTCGAGGCTCAGGCTGCTGCTTTTTCCCGATGTGACACGTCTCATAGCGAGGCACGCTGGGGAAATCTATATCTATTTATTTTTCTTATTTGCTTAAGTCATTCCGTTCAAGAACTGAGCTGTGGCGTTTCCAAGGGACGATCATCCCCCTGTCGATGATCTTCACCCCGAACCCTACCTGCCACCAGTCTTGCGGTGTTGCGTGCCTCGTATCGTGGTGGGCGTGAAAAGGCTCGGTTTCGTCCGGCGTGGCCGTTGCCGGCACCGTTACCGGTACGAAGATCCACGACGGCAAAGTCGCAAAAAGAAGGTCATGTGCCTGCCGATTCTGTTTCCAAGGTTGAGGCCTTGTACATGCTGACTGGAGCCTTGGACAACCCGCTGGGCGATGGAGGGCACAGCCCTTAGATCCCGCCTGTCAGGATAACACAATTTCTTCACCAAAGTGACCACGGAAGGATGCTTTCTAGTAAAATGGCCTGGCTGACTCTCAGATTCTGTCGGTCTCTCTCATCAACATGGCAGGATTCGAGACAAGAACTTCGGATCTTTGCTCATGGTGGCTGCATCTGCCTAAGAAGCAACGAAGTTCAGAAGGCAGAAGTGGCGTCGGCACATCTCCACAGCCTAGAGGTCTTCGGGCCCGTTGGCTGCATCATTGTGGCCCACTTCATTGCAGCCGTCGTCCGAGAACAGGACCCCTTGTATGGACCCCAACTCCTGCAGTAACCGTCGACCTGCTGCGCTTCCGCAGACAGCGCTAGTGGGTTACCATAACCTGATGCCACATTCCTCTTCACAGGAACGGAAGTTCGCGCTGGATATCCGACATGAAGAGAACCAGGCAAAGTGCTTTGCTTCACGGGTCTATCCTGCATTGCCGTCGCCTTCTCGACAACCAACCGTTCACCTTTGTTGTCCGTTGTGTCGTGCGGCTCTACATGTTACCGGCTATCCCATTCATCCCCAAGGCCTGCTCTGAAAGCATTCGCCTGAGAGCATCGTCGCATGTTGACATTGTTTTCTTTGTTGACCCTCTGCATCCGTGCACAGTCTAAGCACTGAAAACCCTCGAACAAGTACTGCAACACTTTGCAGCTAAGCACACTCGTTCTTGGGCTCATGTGGGGACCAGGATGCTGAAAACCTGGTTGTACTTAGGTCTGCTCAAACACTCTGGAAATGCAGGGCCATTGCTGAAATTTGCCTTGCCGAGCGGTTGCGCGTGCGAAGGCGCCTGTAGACATCCCACATCACGCTTGGGTACCTGTTCGTTGGTGCGGGAGACAAAAATGCCAGGGACGACTGTCAACAATTCCTCTGCCAGGGGTCTCCGACCTGTAACTTGTAAGCAGCAATTCTCAAACCTGGGAAGCCGAGGGTTGCACCTGTTTTGGATCGGGCCCTCTAAATTCACAAGTCTTCCAGGAAGTAGCCGGCCTGCAGGCATTTGTGAAACGAGCCTTGGAGAACCTGAACGTTCCGACGGAGCTCCAGCGCCGGGTGTTCAGTCAGCGCCTCTGAGTGTCACAGCCGCTCACAGAAGAAGGGCCTTGATTCGGCCGCTATGGCAAGGTCTTCACCACTTTCAGAAGATGAGTCATGACTACGAGGCGCACTCCTGTGTGCAACACCAGCTCAGCCTGCTACAGTGCGCTTCATAAGATTGATCATAAGATTGAATTGTTCTGCGTTTTGTTGGTGCACAACCTTTCTTCGTGCGTGCACGTAAAAAAGTAACACCACTTTTAGAAGATGAATTGTGCCTACGAGGCACAAACCAGTGTGCAACACTTGCTCAGCCTGTCACAGCACGCTTCATAAGATGAAATTGTGCTGCGTATTGTTGGTGCACTACCTTTGTTTGGTACGTGCAATTGCGTGCGCGTAGCAAGTAACACCACTTTTAAAATGAGTCATGACTACGAGGCGCGAACCTATGCGCAACACGTCACTAGCTCAGCCTGTTACAGTACGCTTCATAAGATTTAATTGTGCTGCATATTGTTGGTGCACTACCTTTTCTCGTTCGTGCACGTAAAAGCATCACGCTTGGAAGATGAGTCATGACTACGAGGCGCAAACCTGTTTGCAGCATGAACTACAGTACGCTTCATAGGATTTAATTGTGCTGCGTTTTGTTGGTGCACTACCTTTTTCCGTGTGTGCACGTAAAAAGTAGCACCACTTTTAGAAGATGAGTCGTGACTACGAGGTGCAAACCTGTGTGCAACGTTAGCTCAGCCTGTTACAGTACGCTTCATACGATTTAGCAAAATTTGATTGTGCTGGATTTTGTTGGTGCACTACCTTTTTTCGTGCCTGCACATCAACAGTCGCACGATTTTAAGCAGATGAATTGTGCCTACGAGGCGCAAACCTGTGTGCAACACTAGCTCAGCCTGATACGCTTCATAAGATTTAATTGTGTTGCGTTTTGTTGCTGCACTACCTTTTTCCTGCGTGCACGTAAAACGTAAAAGCAGCATCACGTTTAGAAGATGAGTCGTGCCTACGAGGTGCAAATCTGTGTGAAACGCTAACTCAGCCGGTTACAGTAAAATTCAAAACATTCCAGAGTGCTGCTAATGCTTATTGTGCATAGAGCATGGTGCCGCCACCTCTTTCTCTTACGTCTGCGTGTGCATGATAAGTAACACCACTTTCAGAAGATGAGTCGTGACTACGAGGTGCAAGCCTGTTTGCGTGTTACAGGCGCTTCCGTGGATTTTGAAGTTACTCTGCGAAAACCCTAAGCTCTAGGACTGTAGGCTTTCGAGCAGCTCTTCAAGAACCACACACTGTCATCACCCCTGGAGGCAGGAGCTGGACTCACAGTGGGAAACGGAATGAAATCCTGCATTCCTCGACCTGCGGAGGATGCCATTCGAGTCTACTTGCGCGATCCTCAAGCAGCTCCGAATTCATAGCCTTCGTGATGCACTTCGGAAGTCCCTGCGTGGCCGGCGGTGGCAGGTACCAGTCAGTTTTACGTGCAGGCTTCTTCAAAGACAAGGATCCTTGCATCGCCAGCTGTGCTTTACACTTTGCAGCTCTACCATGCTCTACAACTCGCTTGGATGTTAAAGGAGCACAGCTACATCTTGGCAGCTTGTGGCCGAGCATGGTACTTGCAGAAGTAACTACACCATTCGCGTGTGCACGACGAGGTCGTCCGGGTTCTTGAAGACAAGGCCTTCCTTCCTGGGGATTATGTGGTTCGCGTCGGCGAGGTTCCGCGCAAGACCACGCCTCAATTGAACACAATGCTGCCGTCTTCAAGGTCGCTGATGAGATGTACTTCATCAGCAAGGGAGAAGTCTCGGTGCTTGTTGCACAGGGAAAGCCAAGAACTCATTCCACATTTGTGGCTTTAACCATGCAGTCCGCTTGTTCTCGTATCCCAGTCCTGCTCAGGTCCAAGGATGTCGAGGATGCGATTCAGCTACCCATGAGGCCAGAAGTGGACACATGCGCGCCTGTCGCTGTGAGCTGAGCAAGTGAAGCCTTGGATGACTCAGGAAGAGGGAAGGAGACTACTTTGGTGAAGTCGCCCTCATCAAGGCACGCATTCCTAAGTACCTGTCAAGGTGGCTAGAGCAGAGACATGCAGAGACAGCACGAACCAGAATGCAGAATGAGTAGTTCGCGATCACCCGCGTTGATATACGGAGAAGCTTGTCTGTTCTCATCCGAGTACACTTGGGTGCAGGCTTCAGGCCAAAGCGGCCAAGCCGGACAACGTTCAGTTATCGTTTGTTGGCAAACCTGCAAGGCCCGATAGTGCTAGCCAAGGCATATCCCCTAGGTCGAGTGTCACGCGCTGCTTGCATACTGCGAACAAGCGGAGATGCGATTGCAAGGCTCTGAAAAAGAAGCTACCACCTTAATTTGCACGGATCTGCTCCGGCTGGGGGGAGGCGAACTGGGACATGAGGGCGCGCGCGGGGGTTCCATCCCCAAGCAGGAAGGACGGACGAGCAACAACAGAATCTCAACACCCTGACGGAAATGGCAGGGAAGTCTGCGGACAGCTTGGATCAAGGCAGAGACCTACGTCGTGGCGTAGGGAGCTCGCATGAAGGAAGAGACACGGGCTTGCCAGTTGAATCTCAGGTCCTGCTTGAGGCGATCCAGCATCGAACAGATCTGGAAGCGGCGGCCTCATGGTCGAGTTCCAAGGCCCTCTCCGAGTCGGCGCCATTGGAGGTATTTCCCACAGGAGCGCGAGTCTCTTCAACGGCAAGTGCTGCAGACTGTCGGGACCCAACTTCTGCCTCGATGTAGTCACTGGACCCGCGAGATCCCACGAGGTCATGCGCGATGCCGCGAGACAGGCAGCCAGCATTCGCGAGAGCATAGGAGGACACGATGTTTTCTCTGATTCTATGTAAGCATCGACATGATCATGCTTCTTTTTTTTGTCTTCTTGTCTAGGATCTGCCGCTTCTCAAGAGCGAAACCTCGCTCCGTCTACAGGAAACGGAACCTTGTCTGAGTTTGTTTGCCGATTTTACTCGTGCGCCTGCCACGCCAGGACTGGGCGCTGCACCTTCTACTGCAGCAGGTGATGCCCAGGTCCGAACAGAGTCCAGCCCAGCACAGTCCACTCCAGAATGCAGCCGCTACTTTGGCGCAGGCTGCAGGGCCACGTGATGCTTCAAGCCTGGCCCGCCAGCCACTTAAGCTTTTATTGGGAAGAGTTTAAAGGTTGTCAGCACCTTTGGCCTGTGCGATGTGGCATCTTGGAATGGAGGCATCGAGAGACTTTGCGAGTCTCTCCAAGCCACGCAAGCACAAGTACTCAGCCGACTGGAGGCCAGCATTCTCGCTGCACTACCTGCAAACTGGCAGAGGAGCTTGTAGCAAAGTTGTAAGGATCTGGAGCTGCAATTCGAAAGCAAACTGGACCTCAAGGTTCGACTGCTTTGCTCTCGCAATGTTTTGTCACTGGCGGCATTGTTGAGGCAGCGAAGAAGCCAAAGCTGTTGGAGGGAGAGCCAGATGCAGAGGAGATTGTCTTAGACTCTCAGACCGTCTAGTCGTGACGTCCGCTGAGACATGTTGAACTGCCCGAGGCTCCAGCCCCCCGAAAGTCAAAAGCAGCTGCGAAGAAGAAGACCAGGCTTCTTCCTCGCCCTTCGACGAGCGAAGCATAACAACTTGCGCCGATGCCTGTGCAGACCCGACCAGCCAGCTGCTCCTACCGATCTTCCAGGCCCATCGCAGGCTCTGGAACCTCGCTGAGATGCAGCTCTTGTCAAGATACATGACATAGTCAAGGGGGAGCGGCTGCCAGCGAAATTGGAAGGCCACTGCCCTAGATGATGTAAGACTGTACTGTACTTGTCTGGCCTCATTCAGCCACATACCAGGTCGCTTCTGGAGCACTAAGTGGATTCTCGTGTCAATTCAGATCCAGTGAGAGTTGGCGCTGTGAAGACAGCGTTCATCCAACACAAAAGAGTGTCCTGCTTGGACTTGGCGAAGCCAGTCCCACGGACGCTTAGTTTGGAGGAGGTGGTCATGCTCTAAGTTTTAATTTTGATCTACACCGGCAGACACCAGAAAAGCCCGTTGTTAATGAGCAAATGCGGCCATGCTGCATGCTGGCACAACCAGTTCAAGACCCCAGGGCTGCCTGCAGCAGGACATGAAGCTCAAAATGATGAAGCAATTCAGCTCGACAGTACGAATTTTGAGACTACCTAGAAGAACAGTACATAGATCCGTCCTGGTGGTAGCAGTAGTCGTCGTCGTAGTAGTGGTGGTAGTAGTCGTAGCACTCGTAGTACGTGTGATGGCGGTAGTAGTAAGTAGTACTCACTCAATCTCACTCGCTCGGTCGCCGAATGTTGCAAGATCCGCTCCAAGGACAGGAAACATTGCCCGGCGAATGTTCAGGAACAATGCTAGTCCTCATTCAAGCCTTCATCGAAACATGCCCTCATTGCTGCGGTCGGATAACTGCTGGCTGCAGAGATAACACCCGAGACACCTTTCCAGGCGGTTGCAGCGTTTTGCCAGACTGCCCCACCAACGCAGGCTTTGCTGCAGGTCAGGTTCGCAATACCCTGAGACCGTTGGCGCAACCCATGCACCGGAAGCAGCAAGTCTCAAGTTCGAGCCTTCAAAGTCGGCCGCACCAAGCCTAAATCAAGAAACAACTCAGGCTTCGTGTTGCACAGTAGTGATGCCCAACTGTGCAGGCAATCGACACGAAGCGGTCGCAGTTGGATGCTGTTGGTCCAACGCCGATTAGAGTGTAGGCAGCGCTGACGTCAAAAGGAACAGCCGCACGGTTTAGGGTTTAGGGTTTAGGGTGGCGAAAAGCTCGCCAGCCACCAGCTGCCCGAGGACCCGCCATTCACACTGAACATTGTAGTAGTAGTCGTCGTCGTCGTGGTGGTGGTGGTGGTAGTGGTAGCGGTAGCAGTCGTAGGGGTGGTAGTAGTAGTCGTCGTCGTCGCCGTCGTAGTAGTAATGGCGGCGGTAGTGGTGGCAGTGGTAGTGGTAGTGGTGGTTGTATTGTAGTAGCTATAGGGGTAATAGTAGCAGCAGCAGGAGGAGGAAGAGGCTGAGGAGGAGCAGGAGAAGGAGAAGCAGGAGGAGGAGGAGTTAGTTGGATTGGTCGCAACACTCGCAGACCTGGAACATCAGTTTATATAGCTACTGGATATCCATTTGTTGCGAGCCTGTGCGAAGCACATGCTCTTCGACATTCGAAGGTTGATCGTGGGAAAAGCCTCGTCACTTGCTCCAACTGAAGATTACTGGCATTCTTGCACAAGAAGCTAGGAGTTCTTGCTGTGAGGAGCTCGGAGAGCACATGCATGGCCAGGTCTTGATCCTTCTCGGGCCTTTTTTGGATGCAAGCAACACGAAGGCGTTGTCTCAGCGCAGCACGTTGTGGCTATGCGCTTCTCTCCTTGCAGCTTGCTCTCAGTGAGGTCATGGAAGGAGAAGCCAGCCTTTCAGGCAGCGAGGACGGACTTGATGAGCGTGGTCAAATCTCAGGGCACACGACCTTACCAGGGCTGTCATCTAGCCTGCACCGAGGAGCCGGCCTGCCTCGAGGAGGAGCTGCCAGCCCTTGTGCTTGTGAGAGCGTCGCTGTGAACTTGTGGACAGCTTGTGGACAGGTGTATGTCCACTTGTTTGCAGAGCTGCGAAAGGGATTGGAGCCGCTTCGAGCTGCCAGACCAGCAACACAGGTGACACGGCCATCGAAGGAAAAAGCTGCTCATCGCCTTGAGCCTACTCTGAGTGCAGGTCTTCATCCTCCCTTCTCTGGAGGAGGCAAGGTTTGATGTTATACGCGTGAGATGGCACAGGATACAAGCCAAAACCGACGAGGCTGTAAACTTTCATCCGCTCCCGCAGCCACCGATGGATATCATGCAGTGTCCTTAGTCGGAAAATCGCCAATTCTGCGGAAAGTACGGCGTAAGCAGCTGGAGGCTTGCACAATGGTTGGAAGAAGAAGCTACCGATCTACTGCAATTGCAGCAGATGGGAGAGTTGCCAGCATGCATTTCGTTTGTGTTACCGTTCGGCCTGCAAGACTGAGCGCAGCCTCTTTGAACTGGCATTTCGGGCCTGTGACGCCAGGTGCGGTTCTTATCTAACCCTGCTCATGTTGAGATCAATGGCATCAAGGCCTGTTGTTGCAGGAGAGTGCACGCAAAAAGCTCAGAGAGCACTGCAGGAATACCGCAATGGCATGTCATAGCATTTTCTGCATGCAGGTGAGCATCACCTCTGCGGATGCGCTCAGCCCAATACTCCGTGAAATGGTACTGCGCCCAGAAGGCCGGAAAGTCGAGGAGGCCAGCCAGCAAGCGCTACAGGTTTTGGAAGTCCAAGAGCCACGTGTTTTGCGCTGGTTGTAGGCTTTGGAATGTCCGACCGAACTTCCCGCATGGACATGAAATCTGCGAAGGGCAGGAAAGGAAAATCTACATCCAGCATGGCAGGCATTGCAGCTTCTGCTCAAGCAGAGATGCTTGTTTCCTGCTGTGCCTCGCGACCCAGCTCAGGTGCGTTTCCCAGCCGTAGTGTCTTGCATTTCGTTTTATTGATCCGTCCAAACTTGGACTTCTCCATTCGTCTCTGGCACGAACTCGAGGTGTACGAGGTCAAAGCGAAAGCTTTGGACTTCCCCTGGGATGGCATTGCACCGCAAATCTGCATATTTCCCTCCCCTTTGGCCGTCATGAACGGGTTCCGCTGGCATGGAACTTGAGAGAGATCTTGCGAGACTGGCGGACTTCAGCCTCAGCTCGTTCAGGGCCGTTGTCGAGAACACACTCTTCGTAAATCCTGGAACTTTGTGTCGACAGGCTAGGTCGATGGTAGCAGTTCTTGAGACCTCAGAAGCAGCCTTCGCGACAAGGCTGCTTTGGGCTCCTTTGCCGAGCTGTGGATCCAGCCTGCTGAGGGTGCATCAGCGTATTCCCCAGCGCACAGCCAAGTCGAGACTGCTTGAAAGCCAGGTGTTTCGACAATGAAGGATCGGGTGCGGCTGGATCTCAAGAAACTAGGTGGCGGTGGCTGTTGCGTTCCGATGACACCTGCAACGGGGAGCCGGGCCTTTGGAATTGGCAGGTTAGCAGACAACGAGCCTGAGAGTGATTCACACGCTTGGCCTGCAAGTGCAGAGGTCCAATCAACTACGACAGTCTAGCGGCTAGGTTACTTCAAGACGAGGTCTTGTGTTTTAGTACGGGGCTGGGGCACTCTTCAATGAGGGCTGCAATTGCGCTGGCTGATGTGCGGGAGGGGTGCCCGTCATGGTATGCTACATCAGCTGGGGAGCGCCTACAAAAAACAGCCGAGAGCACATTTGAAGCATCTTGGTGTTGTGCGTACCATAGGGAAGCAGCACCAAGCCATATCCACTGCGTCAAAAAACATGTTCGCATGTTTTCTTCGCAGCATTGAAGCTTGTATTGTTTCAGGCTTGTTTCACAAGCACTGACAGTGAAGAGTGGGTCAGACAGCCACAAAGATCACAAAGTGAAGTCGCCTCGAAGTACTTGCAAGTCGTGAAGACTGTGAAATCTTTGAACTTGCCCGCCATGGGGCTGCCCAAGCAGAATGTCGTCTCTGCTCCAACCCCTCCGCCACGCAAAAGGCCGGCACAGGGCTTCGTGTGCGGGCTTACTGCTTGGCTCGACTTGATCTGGACGCAGGCTGAGACTGATGAAAGACTTTGACCAGCAAAATTCTGCACTCCTGCCGCAGTTCATGCACGAACATCGCTGCCAAAATCGTATTATCTTTTGTGACTGTCGCAGCCAGGCAACCCCGGAGAAAACGGCACAACCACCCAGGTGCCTTTCTATCCCCTGCTGTGTCGCGGTGCTGTTGCATGCTTAAAGGTGTTCGGGGGCCTGCTAATTGCGGCGCAACCGCAGTCAAAGTGACATTGAGCGGAAAAGCTCCTCTGATTTGTTCTTCGAGCAGTGCCTCTGAATGCCTGTCGCCTTCCTTCGCAGCTTTGGCTTTACGAAGAGGTGTAGACCAGCTACTGAGGGTAACCCAACGACTAGACGACTCACAGCTCGTCTTGCCTAGATTTCACAAGCCTGCCGTAGACTCGACTAGACGACGGACCTTCAATGTCTGCAGAAGCATGTCATGGCAGCCCAGAGGCGTCTGTGTCACTTCAGTTTTCAGACGGCCGATTTCTTCGCCAGGTCCTGCTGGAGGCGCAAAAAAATGGGAGCGATCCAGAGAGTATTTCGAAGCTATCGCAGCTGCAAAGCATGGGCTTTGGACCAGAGGTTGCCAGAGTTGCCCTCCACGTCGCAAAAGGTGATGAGTGTAAAGCGCTTCAACTCTGCATGTCTGGCTTATCCTTTGTGGATCCGGCCGCGGCACTGGAGAAGTGCGCACCCCCAGCTCCACTGCGGTGTTACATCTGTGGTCAGAAGTACTTGACCCAAAAATCACTGGAGATGCATATCAGAGCATGCAGGCGCCGCTTTGAAATGCAGGAGTCCAAGCGACCGTCACAAGAGCGGTGTCAGCTTCTGGAAGAGTGGGAGCTCCCCGCTGGCTCAGATTGCCTGCAGAGCTACTGCGAGAATCTCCGCAGCAGACCACAAACCCTTGCAACAAACTTCGAAAATTGGGTGGAAACCCGGCAGCCCATGCCGGATCCCTCCAAATTATTGCCCTGTGAGTTCTGCAAGCGAACTTTCCTTCCGTGTAGGCTGGAAACTCATCAGAAAGTATGTTTGCAGAGACCCAAACAGGAACCAAGGCGGCCTGCGCGGAGGCAGACAATGCCCGCCAGACCTCCACCAGCAGCAACCAACTCCTTCAACGCCTTCTGCAACCAGCTGCAGCGCTGTCCGGTGTGCCAGCGGCAGTTCAAGCCCGAGGTGCTTGCTGCGCACCAGAAACGTTGCGTCCAAGAACCAAGTGCACCAGCTCCAGTTCGACGAACAGCAAAGTCCCCTCCCAGCAGCCCAAGCACAACTAAGCGGAGGAGTCATTCTGGCCAGCCACCCGCACTTTCCTTCACGCCTCCTAGTCGTGGCTCGCCATCGCAAGCCTCGTTTCGCTTGAGGTGGTCACCAGAAGAAGGCCTTTCGGAAACTTCGTCTCTGCTAGACTCGGGTCTGATAGCACGTGCCACCTCGGAAGTTGAAGCGAGGATCTGCAAACAACTGGCAGAGCGTTTCCACGGCCGGGTGGCAGGGGTATACACTGCGTCTCTGGTTCAACAAAGCGTCTACGATGCCCTGAAAGACACGATGACGCATGAGGACCAGATTCCGGAGGAGCGAGATCTTTGGCACGGGACATCATGGAGCTTTGTGCCCAAAATCCTCAAGCATCTCAGTTGGCTTGATCGCGATGCGTTAGTCAACTTGAGTGCACCTCACGGAAGTTCCTGTAAAATTGATGAAAACGACATGAGCAAGAACAACCAAGACATTACAAGGCTCGTCAGCATTGGTGTTGCTAGCTACCCGTCGCTAGTCGTAGGACCAAATGTGATTGTAGCATCTGCCCTGCCTTTGCTGCAATGACTCCAACCGTTTATTGGTGAAGTCTTCAGTATGAAAAGCTGATGCCGCAGGCAGTACCACAGTTGTCTATTTTTGGCATCGGCGATGCTAGCTCCGGAATACAATCTGCTGTTATTGTTGTCAATTTAACTACACTATTGCGACGACAATTGAGCTCAGCTGCCGGGCGCAACACCGCCTCTACCACCACCACCATCATCACCACCACTGTCACGACTACTGCTGCTGCGACGACAACGACGAACACGAGAAAATCTGATGCAAGTAGTAGCCGTAGTCGTAGCAGTAGTTGTCACCGTCGTCATAGCAGTCGCAGTAGTCGTCGTAGTAGCAGTAGCAGTAGCAGTAGCAGTAGCAGTAGCAGTAGCAGTAGCAGTAGCAGTAGCAGTAGCAGTAGCAGTAGTCGTCGTAGTAGCAGCAGTGGTAGTAGTAG